ATCGTAAGATTAAAAGATTTCGTAGTGATAGAGGACAAGAATATGATTCCACTGAATTTGTTAATTTGTTTAAGTCTCATGGAATTATTCATGAAACTACTGCTCCTTATTCTCCTGAAATGAATGGTAAAGCGGAAAGAAAAAATCAAACTCTTTGTGAATTGACCGTTGCTACTTTGCTTAGTTCTGGAGCTGTTTCTTATTGGTGGGGTGAAATTGTGTTGACTGTTTGTTATGTGTTAAATAGAATCCCTAACTCAAAAACAAATATTTCTCCTTACGAAATTTGGAAAAATAAGAAACCAAATGTGTTGTATTTCAGAACTTGGGGTTGCTTAGCTTATGTTCGTAAAGCTGATCCAAAAAGATCAAAATTGGCTAGTAGAGCATATGAATGTGTTTTTATTGGTTATGCATGTAATAGAAAAGCATATAGATTTTATGATTTGAAAAATCATGTCATAATTGAGTCAATTGATGCTGATTTTTATGAGAATAAATTTCCTTTTAATCTTCAAAATAGTGGGGGTTCTAATTCTTCTAAAATTTATGAACCTACTGTTGTAGAACATAACAAATCTGCATTAGAACCTAGGAAAAGTAAAAGAGCTCGAATAGCTAAAGATTTTGGGCTTGATTTTCATGTGTATAACTTACAAGAAGATCCTAATACAATTCAAGAAGCTTTGACTTCCTTAGATGCAGATTTGTGGCAAGAAGCTATAAATGATGAAATCGACTCCCTAGAGTCAAATCAAACTTGACACTTGGTGGATCTTCCACCTGGTTGCAAAACAATAGGTTGCAAATGTATTCTTAAAAGAAAATTAAAACCTGATGGATCAGTTGAAAATTTTAAAGCCCGACTTGTTGCCAAAGGCTATAGACAAAGAGAAAATATTGATTTCTTTGATACTTATTCACCTGTGACTTGAATAACTTCTATTCGTGTATTGTTTGCTTTTGCTTCTATTCATGATCTTGTTGTGCACCAAATGGATGTTAAAACAGCTTTCTAAATGGTGAATTGGAGGAAGAAATATATATATGGATCAATCAGAGGGTTTTATTATTCCAGGACAAGAAAATAAAGTTTGCAAGTTAGATAAGTCACTTTATGGATTGAAACAAGCTCCTAAACAATGGCATGCAAAATTTGATAGTTTGGTTACTTCGAATGGTTTTAAAATAAATGAAAGTGACAAATGCATCTATTATAAGTTTGAAAGTAATATATGCACTATAATATGCCTATATGTAGATGATTTGCTTATTTTTGGTTCGAATATTCATGTTGTGAATAATGTCAAATCTTTGTTATGTGCTAATTTTGATATGAAAGACTTGGGTGAAGCTAGTGTAATACTTGGTTTGAAAATAACTAGGTCCGAACATGGGTTTTCTTTAGATCAATCTCACTGCATAGAATTTTTTTTAAGAAAGTATAATTATTTTGATTGTAAAGCAGCATGTACTCCTTATGATCCTAGTGTAAAATTGTTCAAGAACATTGGTGACAGTGTTAAACAATCTGAGTATGTTAGTATTATTGGTAGCCTTCGTTATGCTACTGATTGCACTAGGCCTGATATATCTTATGTCGTAGGAGTTTTATGCAGGTTTACTAGCAGACCTAGTTTGGAGCATTGGCATGCTATAGAGAGGCTTATGAGATACCTTAAAAGAACGATGAATTTCAGATTACACTATGAGAAGTTTCTCGTTGTCCTAGAAGGTTACAGCGACGCTGATTGGAATACTCTTTCAGATGACTCTAAAGCCACTAGTGGATATATTTTTAGTATTGGTGGTGGGGCTGTGTCATGGAAGTCTAAGAAACAGACTATCTTGGCGCAATCTACTATGGAGTCAGAATTAATAGTGCTAGCTACGACAAGCGAAGAAGCAGGATGGTTGAGAAACCTACTGTCAGATACCCCTTTATGGGAGAAACCGATTCCAGCAATTTTGATCCATTGTGATAGCATAACGGCAATAGCTAAAGTGCAAAACCGTTATTATAACAGGAAAAGGCGACAAATATGTCGTAAGCACAGCACTGTAAGAGATTATCTCTCTAATGGAGCTGTAAGAGTGGATCATATACGGTATGAAGAAAACTTGGCTGATCCTTTGACGAAAGGACTAGCACGAGAAAAGGTTTGGAAAACCTCGAAAAGGATGGGACTAAAGCCCGTAGAAAATTGAGTCATTTGTGATAGCAACCCAACCTATAGACTGGAGATCCCAAGAAATAGGTTCAAGGGTAATAACAAGTCATAAGTGATATGAGTGAAGTCTTGCTAATTTTAATTTGGAATATTATTCCATGTCCATCCCTAAGAAGCATGACATCCCGAAGCGTTTTTAGGTTGAGATTTTTTTTCTCTTAGTAAGGTCTATACTCTATGTTGAGTGGGATATCTAGCTATAGGAATATCCTTGATAGTCTTACCCATGTGAATGTGGAAGTGAGGCCGCTTCCTATGAAATCTTGGGCAAGTTTCTAGAGCGTTCACTATATTGGGATATAAGCACAAGGCCGTAAGTGCTGGCTTTTTAAACTTCACCTTAATAAGGTTATGTGTGTGGTGTTGTCAGAGATAGAGTTCAAAACTATAAGTTACTCTAGTAGAATCTGGATCACTAACACTATGTACAAGTTCAAGTTGAGAAACACCTTTGCTTATGCATAGCTTTATGATATGTTGCTTGATATATATTTTAAATAAAAACAAGTGGGGGATTGTTAGAGCAGTTATGTTTTTATTTAAATATTTAAATATATTTATGTTTTGTTTTATTACCAATATTAAAAGTCAATTAATTTTGGCTTAAGGAGTTATCTCCCCTAAATATGAAACATGCAATTGAACCGTTTTAGTTTTAATTTTCAGTTTGAATTGATTTTTGTTTTGTCCTGTTGTGGGTTTTATCCGTTTTGATTTCAATTGCCATTATTCCTTGCGGTTTTGATTTCAATTGCTTTGATTGATTACAGATTGCAATCTCAACGTATTTTTTTATTATAATATATATTTATACACACACACACACACACACCAACATATATAAAAAGATAGAAAGATACAAGTCATGCAGATGCAAAGAGGCTAAGAGAGAAAGAAAAAATAGTTTTACATATTGATTTAATAGCAATATATCGAAAGGGTGTAAGTTTGAAGGTTCTTCCGTTGTGCAAGGAAGAAGGTTCTGTGCTGTTTTATCCTGGGGACGACGTGGTGTTTGTGAACTGCTTGTACACTTTGGGCAGAGTTGCGAAACGTCTTAAGGAGAGCGACTTAGTCCGCGACTCATCCTAAGAATCATTCACCACTCAAGACTTCTACATTTTTCGGGTAACTTCGTTCCTTTCTATTTCAGTTTACAACAAGGTACCTGCCTATGAGAAAGAATTTAGTCGTTATGTACGTGTTCTATGGATATTTTATAAACTAATACAAATTTTGAAGAAGCAGCAGAGTTTGTTTGCAATTTGCAATTACCACATAGATAACAGAAGGCAGACAGGAAAAGAAGAAGAAGAAAGAAACAGAAAACAATAAAAGAAAAAGAACCATTTCAAGGAGAAAGAAATAGAAAACAACAACCAAGGAAATGTTACTTTTCAATTCTTAATAATGTCATCCCATCGTTCAGTATAAAGATCAACTGAATTTGCCGGTTGAAAATTTCCAGAAAATCTGCTATAAAATGTCACCACACATTAGACTTCTTAATTGCATTCATCATATGTATATGGGGATGGGAAGGAGAAAAAACCATTGCAAATGCTATACTGACCCGCCCTACAATACTGAATATTTCAGATAGCCACATTGTCAGTTTCAAGATACCAACACGAAAGGAATGAAAAATACCTTAACAAATGCAGTGCATACTCAAAATTATGTAAAGTTCCAAAAAAAAAAACATTATATTTCAGAAAATTGTGTTCAAATTTCAAAGTTGATATAACTAAGGCAGCACTAAAACACAATAATTTAGAACAGAAAAGGAAATGTAACTAAAAAAAAGTTAACCGATGAAATTATGGAGAAACATGCACGAACCTTGAAAGCCTTTTTGTTGAATTCTTTAACAATCTAATGCGACTGAAACACTAAAGCTGAAAAGAAAGAAAAAATCATTCACCAAGGGGACTAAGTTTTAAACACAAATCAAATACAAAGTTGCATTTACACCATTGCAACATGCTATCACTATGAAATTCTCATGTAAAACCATACAACACAAAATATAGAGTGAATGAACAGAAGTGAAACACTAATATAAACTAATAATGTCTAAATTACTTTTACAAACTCTCTATAATAGAGATATCCAGTCCAGTTTGTTAGATATTTTGGTCCCAAGGTATTGCACTATCTTTCATATGACCAATGAAAAATAAGCAAAATTGAAAAGGTATGATAAGCAGAAAACAGAAGGCTGGATGGGAATGGGTATTCCTTTTACTGTTTGTTTTGTTGAAGGATTAATTACATTTACCATTTCACACATCACTCAATGTATTCATATAAAATTCCTTCTTGGTGTAGAAGCACCGCATCGTAACTTATCTACCTCATGAAAACAACTACGTTCAGTTAAAGAAATTCCCTAGATTGTATCTTAAACTACTTCTTAACTTTGTCAGCCATACCAATCTAATAAAAAATCCATGTTTCATTCAATCCTTATTAATTCTAACTCCAAGTATTTCAGCATGCAGATTATAGAAAAATCATAACAGAACGTATAAATGAATTAAAAAACAGTGAAATCCAAATATACAAACTGAATATAACTTCAAGTATAAATGAATTAAAAATCATAACAGAACATATAACTTCAAGTATTTATGCAATAATATAAACTGTGCTTTAGCACCACACCTAATCCTTACCTTAATTCTCAGAACACCCAGATTCCCAACACCAATTTGACAATCCAACCATGAATTTCCAAAAGTCTCCCAAATCCCAATCTTGAGCATGCATTAAATCATATATACTAAAACTCGTAGGGTTGGGCATTGTGAATGACCAGTGGGCGGACTGTTTTGCCCCTCCGTTTTATATCGATTTCCCTTGCTGCTCCCCACGTCCTCATCGTGCACCTTTTCGTTGGATTTTCTTCCCCCTATAGTGTTATACACGTGTTGCTCATCGTGGAGGGGAAGAAACATGGAAAAGCTGGCTCTTCCATTTGCTTCCACAGATTTCTCGAGCTCTCTCTCAAGCTCCGAATCGTTGGCCTCCGCAAGAAGGTATGTCTCTCTAACTTTATTATTATTATTTTTTTTCAATTCGAATTTTCTTTGCATGAATGTTGGATCTGTTGCCTTCGGGAAGAAATTTTAACCTAGAAAAGCTTGATTTTCAGGAAATCGCCAATTCGAAAGCTTGGGTTTCCTGGTGAGTTCTCCGACATATTTGTTGAAATTTTTGTGATTTTAATTTTAAAAATCTGGGTTTTTTTGTTCAATGGTTTGCTCCATCTTATTAGCTTTCTCACTAGAGATCTTTGCCATCGCTACTCCACCAAACTTGCATCCGCTCTTTCGAACAGGTATGACTTCTTTCATTTTCTTTTGTTTCCGAGAAAATTTAGGGCTCGAAAATGTGTAGAATTGTAGAAGTTAAAACCTGTCTCAATCTCTATGTTGGTCTGTACACAATGAAATTGAATTTTGTGTTTCGGCATACCCTTACAGGAATTTTATGATTTGGGAATTGTACAAGTTAGTGGCGATTTGAAACCGTTAACCGGGATGAGAATTAGAGTGATTTGAAAACAGAGAGCAAGGAATTGCAGGTGGGTAGTGATAAAGATAATGGTGAGGATACTATGATCAAAACAGAAATTCACTATTTTGCAGAGTTTTGAAAGTTGATTTCTTTTCTTTTTTCATTTTGATTTTTGATTTTTGTATTTTTGAACAGGTGGTGTTCTGATTTTTCATTCCTTCTCATCACTTCTACAAGAGGTTAGTTTTCTTTTCTGCATTTAAAGAGTATTTAAAGAAAAATTGTATGTAATTGATTTTCTGCTATAATGTTTTGAAATTCCTTATTTTACTTGAATGTAATAGTGCTTGCTTTTGCTTTCACCCAGCTACCAAATTCGGTTTTGTTTGTATGGTAACATGGATTGCTCAGGTTAGGTAGGAGAGGATGGAGGTGAGAAATACAATTGGGAAAGATATGCTGAGAGATTTACAAAACACCTTTGAAGCTATCAGTGAGGATTCTTCTGTTTAAAAGTAGGAATTTTTTAATTTTTCGTGGAATCAATGTTTTGTTTTCGACTGACTTTATAAAGGATTGCTTGGACAAGTACAGGGTGTTTGGGATTGAAAGGCTGGGAGAGGCCACATACGGGTTCAGAGAGAATATTCTTTTTTGAATCTCCATACGTGCAATTCCCTCTACATTAGAGGGTATTTTCATATTATTTTGCACATAAATTTATTGAAGGGTTTGTGTATAAAGGTTTCATTAATGGGGATTTCTATGCAATGACTGTTTGGGATTGAAAGGTTATTCTAGCGTTTATTTTAAACTTACTGCAATGACTGTTTGCAAATTTACAAAATTTGTGTTTAATTTGAGTAGCTGGAATGGAAGACGCAATTCCAACACCTATCAATCAGGTACAACCGTATAAAAAGGCAATAAAGATTAAAGTCCACGTGTGTAGAATGTGGAGACCGAGAACTTTAGGAACAACTGATAAAAATACAAGTCTGCACTATATACTGATTGGCGAAAGGTGAGCAATCATTATGTAATGATTTTAATTAATAAACGTTTAGTTTTGCCCATTGAAAGTTTGTTAATTGTTTTAATGCATATGATATAACGTTTCTACTTTCTGTAATAAACACTATCTAGGATCTGCTTATCATCTTTAGAAATTGCTTGATTTTGTATTGTCAAATGATATATATTTTCATACTGATTGTGTTTGTATAGTATATGGATTTCTTTTTATAATATTCAAAGCATATGATTCTTTGTATTAGAATTTTTTATACGTAAACAATTTTTTTAAAGTGTTAATTAAAATGGTTAATTGATAGTTACTATTTACCTATGCATATTCTTGCTTAGTATTTACTATCCACATGCATATTCATGTTATACTAAATGTAATGTTCACTGTCATTCACTTATTCACCGGATATTTAACAATATTTTTTCCCTTGCATTTTTTTCCCATGCTGAATTGTCAAGCAACAAGCATATAAACTTATACGAATTTTGTTTTTTCATTGTTAATCTACTGATGCTAGGGATGATTTGAGCTTTTACATTCTTTTGAACATTTTTCATATTTAACTTGCAGCATCAATGTCACTGTACAACTTTACACAATTGTTTGTTATGTCTTTCTCCCTTTTGTGTAATTTTAGTCAATTGAACTACTCTTTTCAGCTTAAGATTGAACTGAAGTGCTAAGAACTTAGTTAAATGAAAGTTATACTTTGGTTTGATGACATTTTGGTGTTTGGTGTTGAGTGCATGATTATTAGGTCCACAATCATTGGATACATGATCTTTCATATGTTTTCACCATAATATATCATAGCCCCGCAACAACGCGCGGGTCGCACTTTCTAGTCCTATCTAAAACTTGAATTCGTTTTTACAGAACAAAAAGTAGAAACATTGGGAATGCCTAATTTCCTAAACTGGCTTTTGCTTTCTCACTCTTCCGCAAAAAGAAAAAAAAAAAAAAAAGGTCTAGTCCTATCTAAACCTTATGAGCTCTGTTAATCATTATTTGTTGGCATTTTCGTCATGGTACAAAATGATTTACTTGCAAGAATTGCAAAGTACCATGACATCTTGACAAAAAAAGAAAGTGTTTCTTGCAAGAAGCACTTCTAGTGTTTTTTAGGATTTATTTGCATTTTTACTAAAGATTAGTTTCAAAAGCATTTCACAAAAAAACACTTTTACCTATTTTAAAAGTAGTTCTAAACGAACCATAATAAGAATGTGTGATGTGTAAAAGTGGATGTGTGGGTAGCACTATCCCTGAAAATAACATAGAAACTGAGCTGAAAAGAGACTTCACCAATTGGGCCTACAACATCGTGGTCCCAGGTCGAATCTGGCTCCACCAGTACAATCCTAAAAGCCCAAAAAAAAATCCCAAAAGCCCAAGATAATAAAGAGAGGCTACGACCCTCCTATTTTTTTATTTATTTTCCTATGAAAAAACGGTAGGGAAAAAAAAAAACTGAATTAAGTTTAGCTAAGTTGATTAGTTGATTAATATATCTCTTTTTTCTAAATTTGAAAGAGGTTATCAAGTTCTATATCTTTTAATGGCCTTATTATTATTAACAATTGCATGTTCATTTTATTAGCTCATGATTGGTAGCTTTTGAACAATGAAGAAATGATTAGCAAGCATCATGCCCCGCCACACCTAGAGATTCTGCTTAGTCTTCAATATCCTTACGAGTTCATATTATTCTCCATATAGTACGCGATCAAATTATATGATGAGCGTTGTAAATTCATATCTTTAATGAGAAAATGTTTTGGGTTTGAGCCATTTGATATGATATATGGTATGCTCGAATGGGTGATTGTACGCTTAGGATCCGTCCGGTAAGGTTTTGATTATCCTTTGTTTTGGATTTCTCTTCTTGATGTGCTATTTCTTCTTGTCTCACTATCCCTTTCGTATAAGCTTGAGCTTTAAGCCCCGTTTTCCACAAGTAGCAGCTTTTGCTCTAGCAATTTTCAGTACTAATAATAATTTTGCCACTTAGTTTTACAATTAACAGTGTTCCTCTTCACTTGTAAGTGAAAAAGTCTTAGGTTCGATTATCGTCAAAGGTAAATTTGAACCTCATTATATTGCTAGTTCATTGTGAGGCTTAGCCTATCCTCTTCTCTTATTGTAGATAATATCGTTTGTTTAAAAAAAAAAAATTATTATGCATGGGCAAGAATTAGCTTTTGCCCTGTTTTCCATAAGAAGTAGCTTTTGCTCCACCAATTTTCAGTACTAATAATAATTTTGCCACCTAATTTTACGATATTCATCTTCACTTATAACTGAGAGATTTTAGGTTCGATTCTTGCCAAAGATGAATTTAAACCACATTATTGCTAGTTCATTATGAAGCTTAGTCTATCCCTTTCTCTTTAGTGTAGATAATATCATTTGTTAAAAAAAATATTATGCACAGGCAAGAAGTAGCTTTTGCTCCACTAATTATCAGTACTAATATTATTTTTGCCACCTAATTTTACAGTTTAGTATTATTTCTCTTCATTTGTAAGTGAGAGATCTTAGGTTCAATTCTTGCTAAAGGTGAATTTGAACCATATTATTGCTAGTTCCTTGTGATACTTAACATACCCCTCTCTCTTAATGTAGATAATATCGTTTGTTAAAAAAAATATATATATGCATTAGAAAGGGAAGTGTGCTTCACGTCTGAGAAGTCAAAGTTTATAATGAAAATGAGTCATCTCAGGAAGCCAACCAACAACTTCCTCAAAGACACTAGCAGGGTCTGGGAGTGCCCCAGTCAAGCAGCTAATTGTCCAAGTCGTCCCTCAGCATTTTACCAAAAGGAATGACCTCAAAATGAAGAAATTATTGAGTGCTGGCATATTTAACAATTTTGTCGTCTTTTTATTTTATAACATGTTATTTTGTTTATTATATTGATTTTTCGTTGGGTTGAGATGCTGAATGACATATTTTGTTAAAGGATATTATGAGAGAATCGTACATAGTTTCGTTTGACCGAGATGTGTTTTTGTCTATTTCCATAAAAATATAGACACTAATATTGTGTACCGTTGTGATAATTACGCTGAAAAATTTTCCTTTCACTTAGGGGTCAAGGAAAAAAAAAGATGGACGTATAAACCACTCTGGCATTTAAGTTATGTCTTGACCATGGACATTAATTTTCTCGTTGAACTCTCTTTCCGAGTAAAATTCCTGGTTTCTTTCACATTCCCCAGTGTTATTAAAAGCTAGAGAATTTGTGGGTTTGATTGAGCACTATCTCTAGCTCTGGTCATTTGGCTTCAATTTTATTAAAACAGTAGAAATTTTTAAGATCGTTTTGATGGCTTTCTTAATACGTGATACCTTGTTGAGCAAACAAAATCTTGGCAACATTTTTATTTGTTGCGTCTTATTGCTAAGTTGTAGTTTCAGCTCTGCCGTTGAGAGTGATATCAACTGCTTGAAAAGTCTAAAAGCAACACTTCAGGACCCTTTAGGTTACCTAAAATCTTCATGGAATTTCAACAATAACACAGAAGGTTTCATCTGTAACTTTCTGGGAATCGAGTGTTGGCACCCTCACGAGAGCAAAGTTTTAAATATCAAGCTTTCGGATTTGGGGCTCAAGGGCCCGTTTCCTCATGGTGTAGCGAATTGCACAAGCTTAACAGGATTAGATCTTTCGAGCAACAAGCTCAGTGGACCTCTTCCTGAAGATATCGGTAGAATTATTTCGTTCATTGCAACTCTTGATCTCTCTTCTAACAGCTTCTCAGGGCAAATCCCAACAAATATTACCAATTGTAGCTATCTGAATGTGCTTAAGCTTGACAGCAACTTGTTCACCGGTAACATCCCTCTAGGGCTTGGCCAGCTCAGTAGGATTAAAATATTTAGCGTGGCAAACAATCAGCTCTCTGGCCAAGTCCCAGCCTTCGGTAACAATTCTGTAGTTACAATAGAAAGTTACGCAAACAATGCTAAACTTTGTGGGGAGCCTCTAAAGCCTTGTCGATCGTCTCAAGTGAAGTCCACTAGTACTCTAGTTAAGGTTTTGAAGTCAAACAGTGTTGTTATAGCAGCAGCAGCTGGTTTTGGATTTGCTTTTCCTTTTTCTTTCTGTTTTTTCCTTCCAAGAGCTCCTAGTGTGCGTCGCTTGTGGGTCTTCTATCGAGGATATAAACTGAGGTAGCCAGTAACCTTTGTCCTTTTATGTTATGTTTCAGTGAAATATATGCGGAGTTCTTGTTTCGGAGCATTTTCAGTGTACCATGAAAATCCTCATGTGATGTTATTATTATTATACTCAAATTATAATATACATATGTGGATCTCTCATTGAACAGCTTCTCGGGGAAAATCCCCCCGAATCTTCGAATTGTAGCTATCTGAATGTGCTTAAGATTGAAAACACTGAGTTCGCGGGTGAAATTCCACATTTAGTGTGGCCAACAATCGTCTATCTGGTCCAGTCCCAAATTCTGGTGGTTATGTGCAGTGGCGAAGCCGAAAATTTACAACAATAGGGTCATAAAATAGAAGCTTCCAAAAATTCATCAAACTTTTACTTATAATTGTTAACTTATAATTTTTTTTCTACAAAATATTCATGAAGGGTGCTTGAATTGGATTCACGAATACAACCAAGTGCGATGAAGGGTGTTTGAATGAACTTAAACCTCAGGGAAGCTTTGAATTAAGAGATATAAAGTCTAGATGGAAAATACGTTTGAGAAAATTAGAATTAGATGCCTCATTTTAGACTTTTGTAGACTAAACATTTATGCTTTTTGAGTTTTTGATTAAGCTTATAAAACATTTGATTAAGATACTCAGACTTGAACTACTTCAGATTAATTGAAATTAATTTACATTTAAATATCTGCTATATATTTTAATAATTTCAACTATATTTAAGTTTAAAAATTTAAACATTTCAAATCTAAATGTACACCCACGCCAAATGGAAACGTACCAACATTAAATGAAAACGTACGTCAAACGAAAACGTACCAACCCCGAATTCAAATGTACCCAATTATAAACTATATTAAAATGAATATTCATCTTTTTGAAATGTTTAAAAATATGTTTAATTCATACATAATGCTCTAGATAGTTTTGTTTTTTGGTTGATAAGTCTCTGGAACAACTTTTAGTTGATCGGAGATAAATCATTATTATTGTAGATAATGCTAAATAATAACAATAAATCATATAATTTTGAATGAACAAAAAGGTTATTATCCGTTGATTAATGGCTCTTTCTAGAAAGAAAAAATAATTAATTAAAGTAATTCAAACTTTTACATTGTTAACGACTCTTTCTATAAAAAAAATAAAAAAAAATTAATTAATGTAATTCCTCATTATTAGAACAAAAAGTAATAAAACTTATGTTTTGAAAACAAACATACCAAAAATTCAAATGTACAAAAAACTAAATGTACTAAAAATTCAAATGTACCAAGAAGCCAAATGGACCAAAAATTCAAATGTACCAAGTAATTAAATGTACTTGTACCATTATAATCAAACGTACCTAATTAACAACGAGTTTTGTTACATTCTATTTAATTTACTAAAATAAATATTTTAATAAAAAATAAAAAAAATTAAATCATTATAATAAGAGATGCATAAAAATAGGAAGAAAAAAAGAAATGCTAACGTGAATAGACTTCAAATGAAATAAAATGAAATAAAATTAAAGTACCAAAATTGTAGGAAAAATGTTTAATCAAATTTGCAAAAGGAATAGATGTTTAACCTATATTTCAAAACGAGGCTTCTAGTTCAAAACGTCCCAATACGTTTCTATGTTTGATAAGTCTTCAGCTTGTTTGATAAGTCTCCTTATTTCATGATCTATTGACACATATAATATAATAACGAGGAGAATGTCGAAAATCGGTCAATAATATGTCGGCTTCTTTTTGTTGACAACAATGATTAGTCTTTTTTTTTTTTTTTTTTTTCTTTCTAATCGACAATTAGTTATTTAAAAAAAAAAAGAAAAAGAAAAAAGGAACACATATTCAACAGCCGAAGTAATGGAATGAATATAATAACGAGAAGAATGTCGAACATCGGTCGATCATATGTCAGATTCTTTTGTTGACAATAATGATTAGTCTCTTTTTTTTTTTTTTTTCTAGTCGACAATTAGTTATTTTATAATAATAATAATAAAAAAAAAAGAAAAAAAAAAAAGGAACACATGTTCAATAGCCGAAGTAATGGAATGAATATTTTTCTCCTTCTCGTCCTCTTTTGTACCATTGTATGTATAGTTATAGTTAGACTTTGTGGCTTTAGGAACTTGCTTATCGACTCTATATTATGTTGTGGTTTGTTCTTAGGTATTTGTCAATTTCACCATATGCGTAAGGAAATTGGCCACCTCTGTTGTCTCTGCATCATTAATCGATCTCCTCATATATGATAGATATTGAAGCAAAAGTGGAGAACTTGGACCACTTTTCGGGTTTAAGAAATAGATAACTTAAGAGTGAAGATTAGGGATGGGCAAACGGGTTCTGGACCTGCGGGTCGGGGCGGATCCTTACGATTCGGGATGGGTAATGTTTGGGTCCAAAAATTATAATTACAAAACGGGGCGGGTCTTTGTAAAAAACGGAGCGGGCCGGTTTTAAAACTTGGAAAAAAAGGGGCCCCCGGCCGGACCGTTTATTTCCTACCCTCTCTTGGTCTCAGACCGAAATCGCTCAACCTCAACACCACTTCTTCCTCATCCTCAAGCCTTTTCTTTCTCCATGGACCTTTAACAACAACCCAATCTTCTCCGGCAACCCCAAACCCAATCTTCTCCGGCAAACCATCTTCTTCCTCCCTTCGGTGCAGATCTCACACTGAATTACTCTTTTCTCCAGCAACCCACCTCCAATCCTTCTATTTTGTAGCAACTACATATCGTCCTCCTCCGTCGTGGACGACATCGATTATTAGATGTCTTCTATCGTCTTCCTCCACGAACTTCAGGCCACCGATGATTAGCCATGGCCAGAAACAAGAGGCCGCCTTGGGGTTTTGAATCTGGCTTCTGGGTTTTGCGTTTTGAGTTGAATCTAGCTCCTTTGATCTTTAATTACAATCACATTTATACGGATATATATATATATATAGTGTAAGTGACTGATTTAAAGAAAAAAGAGGGATCCGAAAAACGACGGATGTGTGGAGAAATAGGGGCCAAGAGTTGAGAGGGTTTGAGAGAGAGAACTGCGACCTTAGGGTTTCGAAGGTAGAAATGGAAGTATGCACGGTGGCTGTGCAATCTGTGCCACACCTTCGTTTTCAGGTTCCGTTTGGACGGCGATCGGGAGCGAAGCAAGATCGAGAGTTGCAGAGGAAGCTCGGTTTCTGGTGATTCCACCAAGTCCTGTCTTTGATCAGTAGATTGGGAGCGAAGCAAGATCTAGAGTTGCAGAGGAAGCTCTGTTTCTCTTCCAGTTTTTTAGTTTCTGTTTGGTTTAATTTGTGCATAACCTGAGCTCAATTCCAATTGTAGTTTTGAATTCGTGCATAATCCCATCCGGGTGGCCTTTTCAACTCTGAATTCCAATTGTGATTTCCGAGTTCGATTTTTCTCATCATTTTACTTGAATCTGCTCTCCTCTTACTTGAATCCGCACCACGACGTCGATGGAGAGGACGTCGTGGCCTTGGCGGAGGCGGAGACATCAAGGAAGATGGCGATTTACTTAAAAAAAAAAAAAAACCTGTGGACCCGGCCCGTTTCTAACGGGCCGGATTAGATCCGGTTTTTGTATTAAAATATGATGTATCCGGTCCGATCCGACCCGTTCCTTTTAAATGCGGGTCTGGTCCGATCCCTTTAAAATTGAATCTGACCTAACCCGTGCCTAGCCCTAGTGAAGATAGGGCACTGACGTGGCAAAAGTACTCATGATGTAGGACAAGAATTAAGTTATTTCACAAGTAATAAAATTAAAAGGAAGAGGGGACAATCAAGAAAAGTAATTGGGAATTGATAATTTGAAAGGTTATTTTATGGTCATATCGTAAAAGTGAATGTTTTGAACTTTTCAGACTATTCGGATTGACGTAATTTTAGTTTAGTATGTTTGTTTTGGATCTGTAATATATAGATTCAAAGAAAATGATGTGATCTACAAAACTCATTATGTTGCAACGAACCCATGCGGAATTCAAGCGAATTATGTCGTTTACCATCTTTTATTCGGATTTTAATAGTTTAGGATGTTTTCATATTTTTATATTTGTTTATTTTCTTTTTTATTTGGTTTTCCTTTTTTTCTCTGTTCTTTCCTTTCGAGCTCCTACTGGTGTGCTTTATTTCATCGTGTGTCACGAAGATTGAAGTCGAAACAAATCTAACCACTAATTCGGATCAAATCATGTATACAAATAATCTTGTACTTGCAAAAGAGAAATTTTACAAAACATTGATTTTTTTTTATTGGAAAAAATACGCATTGCCGGACTACTAGTTCATTGAATTGCACAAAAAAAGGAACACAAATAAATAAAAGAACAATATTTGGATTTTGGGTCAAGCTGTCAATTGTCCAAGTCGTCCCTCATCTTTTTACAAAAAGAAATGACCTCAAAATGAAGAAATTATTACTTGCGACATATTCAATCTCTTCGTCTACTTACTTTATAACACCTTACTTTGGTCATTATTTTACAAATTCTTTTCTATTATTATAAAAAAATTCTCTTTGACAATGGTAGTCGAGAAAAAAAAACACGAACGCATAACCACTCTTGCATTTAAGTTAAGTCTTGACCATATGGGCATTAATTTTCTGGTTGAACTTTCTTTCCGAGTGAAATTTCTGGGTTCTTTCACATTCTCCAGTGTTATTAAATGCCAGAGAACTTGTGGGTTTGATTGAGCGCTATCTCTAGCTCTGGTCATTTGGCTTCAACTTTATTAAAACAGTAGAAATTTTTAAGACCGTTTTGATGGCTTCCTTAATACGTGATACCTTGTTGAGCAAACAACATCTTGGCAACATTTTTATTTGTTTCGTCTTATTGCTAAGTTGTAGTGTCAGCTTTGGTTTTGAGAGTGATATCAGCTGCCTCAAAAGCATAAAAGCCTCATCCTCCAGGCTACTTAAGCTCATGGGATTTTAGCAACCACACCGAAGGCTTCATCTGCAAATTTCTGGGAATCGAGTGCTGGCGCGCAAACGAGAGCGAAGTTTTGAACATCAAGCT